AAACCATTTGGATTGGAATAGGAAGATTCTTCAATAAGTATACATATACTTAGGTTCCATTGTATAAAAATTAAAGATAGTACCATTTGGATTAAGTAAATAACAAATAAAGATAGTATCACTTGAGTTTTACTTTTCATACTTTTAGTAGAATTTAACTTGGCGCCTCAGTTGTTGATATCAAATCGTTCGTTCAAATAATACATACCATTAGATTAATATTCATTATTTAATTTGGCATGGTATAAAGAAGTGGGATTTAACTTGGCGCCAGTTCTTGATATCAAACCTTTAAAGGAATAATACTTAAAATTTTTTTGATAAAATTTTGATAAAATTTTGATGAATTCAACTTGGCGCCAATTTTGTTGATATCAATTATACGAATATCATACATATCATTAGAGTTAAATAAATTATTTTTTCTTTGGGAGGAATAAAATGGTAAAATTTAATTTGTTCGAATTACATTGAACTTAACTTGGCGCCAATTGTTGATATCAAATCTTTTATTCAAATGATACATATCGTTAATTCTACTAAACAGCAAACGTGATTAGTTATCAGTTTCACGGCCGATTAAGTAATTGGCATTGTTGAAATCTTTTATACAAATGATATACACATATCATTAAAGTTAAGTAAAAAAATAAAAAGATAATAAAATGATAGTCTTATGTTTCACTTTTTAATTTGGTAGAATTAGATTTTACCATAAAATAGTTTTATTGGATAAGCACGCGCTCTTAGCGCCTTTTTTACCTTTTTTTAAAAAGGTAAGTTTGTATATAATTTTAAAATCCCATAGAATCTTTTATACACATGATACATATCATTAGAGTTAAGTATTAGATTTTTCTTTTATACACATGATATTTGATATAACATCAAAGGTAATAATTTATTGGAAATCTGGACAGTTTGTCCTCCTGACGATATCAAATCACAGATTGCTCCTTCATGTGTCTATAACATTATTTGAAAGATTTCAGAAAACAAAGAAAAATGGATATATTTTATTGGTGTAAAATATTCACCTTATAAATAAAATATAATTTTAAAGAAATTCTGGACAACTCGTCGTCTTAGAAAATACTTTGATTAATAGAGAAATGGCACGATGGACACTGTATCATATATTCACCAGTCAGACACATAATGATATTCATGTGACATCAGGCCTCCAATTGTTCCCATATCACCTATGCTTTTTAATAATCATCACTAAATATCTGGATTTGATATAACTTCAAAGGTAATAATTTATTGGAAATCTGGACAGTTTGCCCTCCTGATGATATCAAATCACAGATTGCTTCTTCATGTGTCTATAATATGAACCAACAGGAAGTCTGTATATCGTTCTTATTATCTTCGTGAACCATACATAATAATAATTGGATAATTTGCGGAAGGGGTAAAATATAATGTTACTTGTGTTTATT